TTTTTTTTGCAGTTTTTGGCCAGGGCTGGGTTTGAACCCACCACCTCCAGTATATGGGGTCAGCGCCCTACCCTTTTGAGCCACAGGTGCCGCCCCAAAATAATAATTTCTAATTCCACCACTCATTCCATATTTATCAGTCTGCAATTTACTAAACGGAAGCACCCTCCTCTCTCTCTCCCATTTATTTATTTATTTACTTTTAAAAATTAACAAAATAGATTCATGGATTCCAGTTTATTTAATGGGATATAGCCCATTACCGTCCTAATTTTGTGTTAAATTACATCAGATTTGGCCAGTGAGAGCCCTTCAAGCTCATTTTCAAGGCTTATCTTGGAAGTTATTCTCCTGTTTTCTTTTAGAAATGTCATAATTTTAGCTCTTACTTTTATGTCTATGATCTCTTGGAAGTTTTCTTTCTTGTTCTGAAGAAGCAGTCTTGCTCTGTCCCCCAGACTGAAACTCCTGGTCTCCGGTGATCCTCCCGCCTTGGCCACCTGAGTTGCTGGGACTAAAGGCCTGCACTACCAAGCCTGGCTAATTAAAAAAAAATTTTTTTTAGCAGAGACTGAGTTGTCCAGGTTGGCCTCAAACTCCTGGCCTGAAGTGATCCTAACCCCTTGGGCTTCGAAAACCATCATGCCTGGCCTATGGAAGATAATTTTTGTGGATGCTATGAGACAGACATTGACTTTTTCGATATAGATACGCAGTTGTTTATCCTGCTCTGTTCAAATGTCTTTCTTACTGTAACTGAAAGACAGTTGGCTACTTGCTTTGGCTTCTTTTTTGAAGTCAGGTGACCATTTTTATGTTAGTTTCTGGGTGCGATGGTCTAATTTTTGACTTACAAGAATTGTAATTGTCATTGATGTTGCTTTAGTAGTCTTGAAATCAGGTAGGATGAGTTCTTCAACTCTGTTTTTCTTTACAAAAATCATTTTAAGTAATTTGCATTTATATTTGCATTGTAGAAATTTCTCCCAGGAACAACTACTGAGAATTTTGATTGGGTTATTGTAATGAACGTATTTAGGGCAATTGCCATCTTATCCATAGAGTTACCCAGTTCATGAGTAGGGTCTGTCTCTGTTTATCTAGGTCTTCTTTAATTTCAGTGACTTGTATTTTCTCAGTATGGAGTGTTTTGAGAGATTTATTCCAAGCTTCTTTGTGTTTTTCAGCACTCGTAAAATGGAAGTTTTGTTAAAAATTGTATTTTCCAGTTACTTACTGCTGATGTACAATTGCATTTTACATATTAACTTTTTATCTTTGCTAATTTCACTTATTAATTTTGGTTCAAGTTTTATAGACTAACTGGGATTTTCTGTGTAAATAGTCATATCTGCAAACAGGGTCACTTTTACTTCTTCCTTTCTGAACTTTATGCTATTTCTTTGTTTTTCTTACCTTGTTCAATGGTTAGGTCTCTAGTACAGTCTTAAATATGCTAAATATCCTAAAAGGAGCATCTTAGTCTTATTTCTGATAGTAGGAAAGACACTTCACTCATTCATTTTGAGAATGATGTAGTTTTTTGGTAGATTCCTTTTATCAAATTGAGGGAATGCTCTTCTGTTCCTGGTTTTCTGAGAGTTTTCTTTTATCCTGAATGGTGCTGTGTTTTCTCAATTGCTTTTTTGGCATAGGTTTAATTGATCATGCTGTTTTACTCCTGTATTGTGTTTGTGGTGTGTTATTACAGTGATTGCTTTTTAATGTGACTCTAGTCTCATACTTCAGGGGTAAACCCTTTATGATCACAATTATATATTTTGTATATTTTTGCAAATGATGTTAATGGTTTTAGAATCTAGAGTCAGGTAGAATATTGATCTGTGATTCTCTTCATTGTATCTTTGTCAGGTTTTGATATTAGGGTTGTAGTGGATTCGTGAGATGAACTGGGCCTGTTTTCTATTTTTTATTTGTATAAGATCTTTATTATTTTGTACTTATTTGATAAAATTCACCAGTAAAGCTCTTTGGACCGGGAGTTTGGGAAAGATTTTTTTAAATGTATGTAATTTCATTAGTGGATACAGATGGGGAATTTGAATGTTCTATTTCTTTTTGTGTCAATTTTATTAAATTACATTTTTCAATAACTTTTAAAAAATGCTTGCCTCCCTTATTTTTAAAAAAAAATTGTCCATTTTATCCAAATTCTCAAATTGTTAGTATAAACTTATTGACATCATTCTTTTATCCTTATTACTATTTGTGGTATCTGTGGTAGGAATTCTTTTTTCATTCTGGATGTTAGTGATTTATATTCTTTCCTTCTGTCTATGTCTTTTTTTTTTTTTCTTGATTTGTCTCAGTGTAACTTTATTAATTTTGTTGATCTTTTCAGAAGTCCAGGTTTTGGCTTTGTTGAAATTTTTTATTACTTGTTTTCTATTTCATTGGTTTATGGTCTCATCTTTTCTTCTTTCTACTTTAAATTTACTTTGCTTTTTTTTAGTTTCTTAAGGTGGAAACTTCAATCATTGATTTTAAAACTTTCTTCACTCTAATGTAAGCCGTTAAAGTTATGTATGTGTGTGTGTGTGTGTTGTGTGTGTGTTTAAGCACTGCTTTAGCTACATTCTGCAAATTTTGGTATTACATGTTTT